ATATAGATGTACTGACTGATTAACTTTTGTTATATTTCATTGAAGTCTTTATTAAATGAAATATTTGAAATGAGAAATGGAACTTGGTTATGATTTACAAGGATGTGAAGTAAATTATCAAGGGTGTTTAAAAACATGCGACGGGCTGAGGATGCCCCCCCCCCCTTTTTTATATGTGGACGGATGTCATGAGTAGTCCTGATAAAATTTAATTCATTGAATTTACACGGGATGGAAACACTGTAAGCTGATTGGCATTTGACAGGGTGCTGAGGAAGCTTACAATTTTTGGTGTCAGAAGTGGGATGTCCTGCCATATACGAGGACATCTAGGATACGAACCCGTACTTTAATACCTGTCAAGTACTGAAGTAGAGTGGATTGCGGACTGTCGTGTGGTAGAGAATAAAAAATCTATTTTTAAATAGCGATGTATATATGTTCTTGTTACTGTTTTTATAGTTAAAAATGGAGAATGCTACTTCGCCGGATCCTGAAGTATTTATAAATGAACATAAGGAAAATGTTCAGTTAGGCCAAGGGGACGAAACAGATGACTGTGGGAGGAACACTGATGACGAATATATTGGCAAATGAAAATCCTTTGGAAAGAGATGACAGTGAAGACGACCACGAAGTGGGACATAATTTCCGTTGGCGATCTGATTATCAGTTAGCTGACGACGCACATAGTGATCACAATCGCATTTCTACACTTATAATCAAACCCGAACCCTACAATGGAAAAGAAAGTTGGGAGGAATACTTTTCTCACTTTCTAGACTGCGCTGAACTTAGCCACTGGGACGACAGGACAAAACGTCTTTTCTTAGCCGCTAGCTTACGTGGACAGGCCGGGACTTTCTACATGAGCCTAACACTTGAGGAAAGACGCACATTTAAAATTCTTGTTCAGCGTATGGACCAGAGATTTGGTAGCTCAAAACTCAAAAATAGGTGGCTTTCAAAACTGGAAATGCGTAGGCGGATGCCTGGAGAAGGTATTGCAGAGGTTGGAGACGATATACGGCAATTATCACAAAAGGCTTATAGTAACTTGGATATTGACGCTCAGGAATCACTGGCCCTGAACCACCTTTACAAAATTATTCCCGTTGAAATGAAATGCCGTTGTATTGACAAGGAGTGTAGCACTGTTGCAGAAGCTGTAGACGTTATTGAAAGATACGAGTCAATAATGGGGGATGGGGATAAAAAGAAAGTAAATGTTAGATATGTGGATCAAGAACAAGTAGTCAAACAGCCAACTGGAGAGCAAAAATCAAATAACTTGGAACATACAATCAAGCTACTAATCGATAGATTAGAGAAACTGGAAAGTGCGCAGAGAATGGAACCACGGAGGGGCAATAACTCTTGGACTTGCTTCATCTGCAATTCACCACATCATCTCATGAAGGACTGCCCAGACCGATGGACTAGAGGACAACAAATGACCACGACCTCTAACCTGAATAGAAGACATGGGAGTGGAAACATGAGAGATAACAGATATCATTAAGTCAGGAGTCGGCACGTCAAGAGGAATGTCTTTCCATTGGAAATGAACATACTAGGACTGGCCACAAATGGGATATAACTCTCTCATGGGACAATGGATTTTATACAAAGGAAACATATTTGACAAAACAATAGATTTTCTAGGATAGTGGATCTACTGCATTGATTATTTCATATGGAATTTTTTACTAAACTCTCAAAGGAAAGGACACTGTAACAGGAAAATTAGATGACTTCACTTATTTAGTAAAGAGACTTGAAACAACCTGCTAAGGCTAATCATCTTGATATATTAATGCCATATGGAGGCATCAACTTGCAACCCTGGTTCAGGAAGTTCATACCACAAAACTAAATGATGTCGGACAGCAGTTTGATGATACCAGATTTTTTTTGTTTTATCATATTGACACATGTCTATGGTGGATGTTGTCCTAGGTGGTGCACCACACTAGGTGAATGTGTAGATAGTGACTGGCCATTACTATTATTGCACATTAAGACCTCAGTTGTCTAGGGCTGGGCCGGACTGTAGGTGGACATCAGTTGTCTAGGGCTGGGCCGGACTGTAGGTGGACATCAGTTGTCTAGGATTAGATGGGACTGATGGGAAAACAGTTGTCTAGGGCTGGGCCGGACTGATACTTTTGTTGGTTTCAATCTACCACTGGAATAAAATTATAAATGGATAATTGATGTGACATCCTGATCCTGGGAGGAATCTACAAAAACAATGAAGAATTAGACCCAACTGATTGACTGACTGATTCCCATAGGAACCTACCTTTATGAACTACATACATTCAATTCTAACAAGAATTTCCAATCTTGTACTAGCTTATGCACAGGGAGCTGTATACTTTATACATGGGATGGATGGTGGATTTTCATGGTGGAGACGAAGTAGCAGAGAGACAAGATGAAGAGATGGAGAGAGAAGTAGCTGAAATGGTATCAGACGAGCAGGCAGATGTGTGAGATTTACGAAGGGAAGCGGTCCAGTGCAAGAAGGATAAAGATTTCATTGATGATGGAAGCAAGAAGCTAGCAGAACCAGAAGATTTTGATCAAGACTGTAAATTCAGGAGAATTTGACTTTTTAAGTGGGGGGAAGTGTAATATGCATGGGGGTTGGACTTTAGAATTTTGCATATTAATTGCACTGACAGGCTGATGGTGGAGTGTTTTTTTGTGAAGTAAAGTAACATCCAGTTGTAAATTTACTAGAAATGTTTTATTGTTCATGTTATTTCATTATCTTTTTGTTTACTTGAATTATTGATGCAATACACATTGCACTTCCACATTGATATGTAAACAAATGCTGTTTTTGTATTACTAGACGATCTAGGGAGGTCTTGTTGAACAGACAGTAAGGGACAGTGATACTAAGATGTTGTATGTCAGTTTTTCATCATTATCTACCATATTACGACTGTAATTTACTTACTTATTTCAGCATTATCACATGTGTTGTAAATTGAGCGCCTGCCATCTTTCTTACGAAGGAAGTAGTCATGTGACATATACATTGTCGTTTTACAATTGATACGACCAAAATAATACTGTCCGTGTCTTCAAATATTTATAATTGATACTTAAATGTTATTTTATTGCAGTATTGTCATTTAATTATGTTTTATTTGACGAAATGTTTTGGAACTTGAATGTGTAGCGTAATACTTATGTGTGTACATTATTGTTCGGTATTACTACGCCATGGATTGGGTGTGTCCGTTTTATTACAGATTGTTTGTTGAACTTAGTTTATTATGTACATCGAATAGAATTTATAGCTCCCACTTTACATGTAGAAAGGACATTTTGAGCGATGTTATTTTCTTTGTTTTACACAATATGTATGTAAAGTAGTTCTGAGTTGCTCCAGAAAGGACAATTATTCATTGGTTTGTTGTGATCACGTGACCATTTTAGAAGGTTATATATACGAGCAGCGAACGTCAGTATCAACACAACGATCATAACGATCAGATCATATTACGTCATCGACATCACTGACTGTAAATTACTAGTGACTTAGGTATGAGAAAATAATGTAAACTAATACAAATTAAGTAGCGTATAATTTCTCCACCGCACGGACACCGCAATCCACTGTATTTTATTAGGCCAGAGATGTTAAGCTAGGACTTAGACTCATATAGATGTACTGACTGTTTAACTTTTGTTATATTTCATTGAAGTCTTTATTAAATGAAATATTTGAAACGAGAAATGGAACTTGGTTATGATTTACAAGGATGTGAAGTAAATTATCAAGGGTGTTTAAAAACATGCGACGGGCTGAGGATGCCCCCCCCCCCCTTTTTTTATATGTGGACGGATGTCATGAGTAGTCCTGATAAAATTAAATTGATTGAATTTACACGGGATGGAAACACTGTAAGCTGATTGGCATTTGACAGGGTGCTGAGGAAGCTTACAGTATATAGGTCCCTGATGTAAATTAGTAAAGATTAACTAAGTAACCGTCCGCGAATTACCCGGGGCGGTCAATTTGTTTATATTTGCTGAATTTGATTGATGATTGATTGATTGATTTGTTGTTGATATTGAAGTGGGTCTGCCAATGTTGTGTTGATTTGTGCGGCGACCCACGCATAATGCCACGACAATACTCACCACATACAAATAAATAATTATTTACTTTTGGTGGTGTTGAATTTTCTCTATATAAATAATTAAGAGTTAATGTCGGCTTGTTAATGCTAAAACCATTGTTTAAAAAGGTTGACTCAGAGATCCACAAAATAAAAAATTGGTGTGGCATTCCTATTGAGAGTTATGTTGATGTTACATGGATTTCCATAAGCTCGGTTAAAGACAGCATTTCGTAAATTCAATGGTTATTAGAAATACCTTAATATTTTAAATATAACATATTATTAGGGCATAGTGGCTGACTTGTTTCATAGCAATATTGTTAGGTCTTTGTTTTTAAACTGAAATTGACTACGCAATGTTCCTTCTAATTATTAATACAACGAATTCTCGTCGGGTGTGGCCAATCGACAGGGGATGCTTGCTCCTCTAAGGTACCCGAATCTACCACTAAATGTTCTGGGGTTTCGTGTATACTTAAAAAAAACTTAAATGTATTTATTGAAGTCGATCACAGTTCGCTTTATCGTAACTCTTTTCATTTGTGACTGTCATTGATTTACTTGGTACTTGATGTACTTCTTAAATAAAATTTTATCCTGCATACTGCAGTCAAAAGAATTTTTAAGAATATACTAGTATTTCTTACTATTCACGATAAAAAAAACATCCAGGTGATACTCTACTTGTGTTTATCAGTCAATAATAATTTCATTGGAATACTATATTTGTTTATTAATATCTCAAAAATGACACAAGTAGTGCATGGAAAACTCATTAGCAAATAGTAAATTGATTTTAAAGGGTTAAAAAATATCATGTACTCTTTTAAGAGCACACTTTTTTCAGGACAGTATTCAATTGAGTATTACTTTACCTCTTTTGCATTGCTCTTCACTTATTGCCCCCAAATGTCCGGTAGTATAGTTATTTGGACACGAAGAACAGTTAATGTTGCTTCCACTGATGTTTTTGAAAAAGCCCAGTTTACAGGGGTAACATTTGTCTGTTATTGCGTCATATTCTTTTCCTGTTGAACACAGCTCTACAAACACAATCATATTATCATTAAAATATTTTACAATTTTACTGATATGTTAATAATGAGTTGTTTTAAGGTTTTCTATTTCTTTCTTTCAGGCAGTGACTGAATGCTAGAATGCAATTAAGTTTAACTATCGGTAATTTTTTTTTATCTCAACCAAGTCCGGCCGTGACCTGAAAATTTTTTTTCACACTTTATAAGGATTCTTGCAAATGTTTTAAATATTGTACTGCTGATGAATATATTTGCTGGATAAGAGCCACCATTGCAGGAAGAAATGCAAGAAACAGGAGACAGACAAAAGACGAACCCTGATAGGAAAATCTCATTTAACTTGCAGGTCAAGTGAAAATAAACTATTGTTTCTGTCAAATACTTCGTACATTCTTATAAAAGACTTGATAGATACTAGAACATACCAATACATTTGTCTCCTCCTTTTGAAAGAGTTGTCGTTCCAGGAAGACATTTTGTACAATTCCACCTTAAGTTCTTCTTGAGAGTAATATTTTCACTAGAGGTATTTTTGAAAAAACCAATTTCGCATTCAGTACACCTATCATCTTTATAGTACATCCCCTCCTTACAGTGAGCTGGAATGAAAATTACTTTCATAAACATTTTCTTTCACTTGTGAATAATTTGAATATTTTTCTTTAAATTGATGCACATTTTCAGAGGAATTCTAAACCTTTTAAAGCTAGGTAGCAATGATAAAAAAAAGGGGGGATGGGAGCAATATCCAGCTCAACCTTGAAATGGCGATTTTTAATGCACAAATACTGAACATCTCCTGTACAAATGTAAACTCTGTGAAAATATATTATGGAAAAAGTTTATTTTGGGGTTTTAAGATCACATGGAAAATACTTATACTAGTTTTTTACAATAAAATCAATTGTAATTAAAAAAACCGATATTTCATAATCAATTGTCATTGATATGTTTTAACATCTATAAATATAAAATGAAATGTAGATATGAAAAAAAAAACAATGTATACAGAAGTCTTTCAAAATAATATAAAAAATGTTGCTGTCTACAAAATGTAATTCTAAAGAAGGCACATGTAATTAATGATAATGTATATCTAGGAGTAGGCAATTACTTGTGATTTTGATGTTCAAATCGATATGAAATGTATGTATTGTGCTTTTGTATACAATTAATTATTAATGTACCATGTTTTAATAAAGGAGAAAAAATACACAAATACTGTGAAATAGCCGTTTCGTTGGGATTTAATCTCTGTTACTTTTGTTACTATCAGGAACCTCAAAATTTAATGTACTCGACGAAATGTAACAATTTTAGCCTACAGTATCACATTGTCTCTTAACTCCTAATTCAATTTTGTTGACATTCCGCTTTTCTATCAACTAAGATTGTATATTATTATTTTTAATTTAAAATTATGCTTTAATTTTGTTTGCAGTGAAAGAAATTAATTTTTTTTTCACTTGAAAGTTTCTTCACTCCCCCCCCCCCTTTTCTCTTTTGAAATCAATCTAAAATTTTTGACATCTTTTTGGTTTGCAAATTAAAAGTTAAAAAGTAATAGTTACTAGTAAGAGCCTTGAATCAACCTAAGGTAACACTTGAAAAATTTATAATTAAAACATACAACATTTGTAGTTTTTCAGTATCAGAATTAAAATAAATGTGTTTATTAAATACCGACGTCCCCAGGTGTTAGTCAAACTCCAAGATCGAGAGATTAAATATGTTGGTACCCAAAGAAACTTCTTATTTTTAAGAAATATTAATTCACAAAAAATATACCGTTGAAATATAAAGGCTGTAGCTCCAACCATTCAAAATTATGATCATGGTTAAAGTTTTTCTTTAAAAGTAAGTCACAAAGTTTATGGTTAAAGGGTCAAAACGTATGGTTCACACATATGGACATTTTTTCATTATAAATATATATCTGTAAATTTGAAAGCTCTAGCAACAACCATTCAAGGTTAAAATTTGATAAAATTGTACAAAAATGGTCAAATATGATGGTAAACAAAAAAAGGTCCTATCATATGAAATACACAACCGATTAAAAATTGTGAGCATGGTTAAAGGTTTTGCAGAGGAAATTGATCGTGCCATTTCATTTTGCTATTCTAAAACCATGTTTAAATTACCTATGCAATCTTTTATACTCGAGGTCCCCGACTCGTACGTTGTATTTTCAGCTGGACATTTCTTGCACCAAAACCTGTCAGAAACGTGGAGACTCGTGTCGTTTGCTGAGACATTTTTGTAGTAGCCAACTGGACAAGGTTTACATTTCTCAGTTCCATTTTCTAGCTCCATACCTTTCTCACAAATATCTAAAATAAAATGTAAAAAGGAAAATAATTTTACAAATGGGAGGACATTTAAAACAAAATTTCTAAAATATCTGATCCATTTCTAAGAATTGTTTTGGGAAAGATTTTCTTTTCTTGTGTCTTTCCTTTTTTCTCCCCAACTTGAAAAGTGGGGGAATTTAATATGGGTCTGTCCGTCCGTCTGTCCGTCTTTCTGTCTGTCTGTAACGCTTTCGTTTCCACACGATATCTCGGGAACTCTTTGAGCCTTTGCAATGAAATTTTGCATAGCAACTCCCTATAGACTAATAAAGAACCCTATCGATTTTGAGATCAAAAGATCAAAGGCCAAGGTCATAAATTCGCAAATTCTATCAGTTATAACACTTTCCCTTTCCACACGATATCTCGGGAACCCTTTGAGCTATTGCAATGAAATTTTACATAATAACTCCCTGTGGCCTAATGAAGACCCCTATTGATTTTGAGGTCGAAAGGTCAAAGTTCAAGGTCGTGATTTATACATTCTGTCTGTGTGTAACACTATCCTTTCCGGAGATTATTTCAAGAGGATTTTGAGCTTTTGCAATGTTAATTTATACCAAGACTCCCAAGGACCTCTCTCATCCCTCTCAAAGTGTCCCGCCCCGTTTGTTTTATTAGTATTTATTGTATTACATGTCGCTATTTTTAGCACAGGGGCATGAGGAGAGTTATGTTATTACGTATAAAACAGGTTCTCGGCGGACTCTATTATTTATATATTTTATTGCATCTATTAGAACTGTTTAATAAAGGTTAAATTAGACCCCATGCATTGTGTAAAAAAATTTCAATATCGAACGTTAATATATACATTTATGTGACTTCATCTTTGCATATAATTAACTCTAGTTGATAGCGGTTTCGTGGTGTAGTGGTATGTCTCCTGCTTCGTACGTAAGAGGTCCCGGATTCGAAACCCAGACGATCCATTTTCTTTTTTTTCCGAAATACTTTTTTTTTTACTAAATGATAGTACTCAGCATGTAAAATGAAAAAAAATATGAGGTCTAGCTTGTTCAAACTCGTAAAATCATCATTACAGTGTGATAAATATTCCATATCAAAAGAATCTTCTATACACATAGTCAAGAATAAGCAATCAAATCTTTATATCGATATTGGCATAGTTTATTAGCTTCAGTATACATGTATACATTAATAATTCTACAAATTCGGTCAGAGGGATCCGAATCCCCCCCCCCGTCCCCCAAACTGCATGGTTTACTTTTTCCCTAAGCGGGGGACACAAATTCTCTGAATTAGCTTGTTTATATAGAGCATAACAGAATCAGGGGAAAATAGTAATCCATCATAAATTGAAGACCGTTTAGAACAAGAGTTCAGTTAATTTATGAAATTTATTGTCTTGAAAAGGATTGTAAAAATTATTTTTAATTTTCTGAAATTAAAAATCGCGTATTTAATATAATATATAATACAATACAATATGACCGCTTATATGCAAATTAGCAAAATGCACACCATTTCTTCATTTGACATGGAAATATGATTTTAAAAAAACTTGAAAAATGCAATTGTTCCAGATCAAAACGTAATTATTAATTAAAAAAAACAAAACTTTTCGACTATAAGTTTGACAAAATAGTTTGAACTGGAAATTCCAAATAAAATTGTCGAAATGCTTGGACACTAGAATTAACAAACTAATTCAGAGAATCTGTCCCACGCTTTTTGAAAAAGAACAGAATTAGATGATCTAGAGGCGGTCAAAGGAAGTGACACTTGAATAGGGACGGTCAGGGCTATAGAGTTGTGTTTAAAAATCATCACGTGTCGCCCGGAATTGAAAGTTTAACACACAGACAGAATGTATAATATTTTTTACCTTAACCTTTGACCTTTTCACCTCAAAATCGATAGGGGTCTATCATAGGCCAAAGGAAGGTGTGATATAAAATTTCAGGGCGTAAGACGGAATGCCTCTCAAGAAATCGTCCGAAAACGAAAATGTTGAAATAGTAGACAGTATTTATGAATTCATGGCCTTAAAGTTTGACCTCAAAATCAATAGAGGTCCTTTATAAGCCATGGAGAATTGTTAGGGGAAATTTCAATGCAATAAAATCAAAGGCTTCTCCAGATATTGATTGGAAATGAAAGTGTTACAGACAGACAGAAGTACAGACCGATTGACCGAAGGTCATACTAAGAGACAGATCAAAATTATTTAATTTCCACTACTTCAATGAAAGCGGGGAACAAATAAACAAGTTGAAAGAAAGGAGTCATATAAAGTAGAAAAAAAATCAGCATTGATTTACATTGATAATAAATCAACATCATGCTATTTCATATTGTTAATAAAACATGCTTCAAGCAATTCTTTTGATGAAAGCAATATAAAACATGTATGTATATATACCTATACAGTATGTAGCACCTCTGTCATAAGTTGTCTTCTTAACTGGACATTTCTTGCACCAAAACCTGTCAGAAACATGGAGATTTGTGTCGTTTGCCGAGACATTTTTGTAGAATCCAACTCGACAAGGCACGCATATATCAGTTCCATTTTCTAGCTCTTTTCCTTCCTCACAGATAGCTTATATGAAATGTAATTAAATAATTTCTTTTACAAAAGGAAAGTCATTTCAAAAGAAATCAGTAAATTAAATACAATTGCAAATAAATGCAAAATTATTTGATCCATTTGAACGAGGTGTTCTAGGTTGACAGTTTATTTTCTAGCTTCATTCCTTCTTCATATATAAATGCATGGTTATCACGGTAGCTCAGTCGGTAGAGTACTCGCTATTTTATAAGGATGTCGTGAGTTCGAATCCAAAACTAGACTAAGTTGATAAAAAAAGGTAGCAAATGTTCCTTCGCCTTGCGCTCGACACTTTGAATCTCCTGCATATGTTGGCACGATAAAGATCACTTACTGCTCAATGGTCCTTAATGCCGAGTAAAGTTAAAATTTAAATCTCTTCGCCGATAAATGACAACGTCTCAATGGCAACGTAAAACAACAATTATTCAAACAGTTTTCATATATACCAACTAAAATAAAATTGGATAAAATAGGAACCCTTCAAAATTGAAGGCGTTTATGGAGTAGTAATGCAGTTATTACATAATTTTTATGTTTTGGAATCGAATGAAAAAATAGTTATAACTAGAGCAAAGCTCGTTGCAAAGCAACGAGAATGTCTTCCGTCCTGTTTTGACCGGAAGTGACGTCAGCAAAAAGAAAGCAATGAGCTTAGTCGGCTCCAGTCACTTTATAATTTCAATTTTGCACAAAAACTTTAAAAAATAAGCTATTTTTGGCTACTTCTGGTTTGACCGGAAGTGATGTCGATGGACGGAAAATTAAGTTTTGTGGTTCCTGTGATATATGTTACCCAAAAACTTGTCAAGAACAGCAAAAATATGCATTTTCTGACTTCTTCCGGTTTGACCGGAAGTGACGTCGCTGGACGCATTTTGACGACTTCATTAGATTAAGATTGACATTTTGAACAACATTGCTTCTTGGATGTATTACAAGTTCTCAGTACTTTTTGAGATATCTGGAAAATACTTTTGGCCCCTCTAGATCCCTTAATTTAGGGGTCAGCCCTTTTTTCGAGATATCATTTAAAAGATCTTGTAATTCTGCACAAATTTTATTCTATATGTTTTAACAAAATATTTTTAGTTACAAAGATAAAAAGCAAAATATGTGTAAATTTTCGCTCTTTTAGGCGTTCTAATTTTTGACCTCTATATAGCACCATTTTGAATAGAGAAATCGAAAAACAAAAACAACTATGCACAACTTCAATCCTTCCATTATCTAAAATCAGTAGAATTTTTGCTCCAGCTTAAGCCGTCTCTGAGCCTTTGTCTGGAAACGAAAGCCTATAAATTTTCGTTTAAAGGGAAATAACTCAAAACCGGAAGTGACTTTTTGAAATTTTAGAAAGCATTCTGATAGAGTTTAGTAACGTCTATCAACTCTGAAAATTTGAGCAAAATCCATTGAGAAATGAGTGAAATATGAGGCCTCAAAGTTGGCTTCTAGGAAAAGGAAAAAAAAAGAATGATAAGAATAATCTTAATCATCAGAATCAGTAGAAGGTCTTCCAAGATCGCGAGATTAAAGATGTTGGTACCCAAAGAAACTTCTTATTTGAAGGTTAGTTACTCGTCAAATTTGTTAAATCAAGGATTTTTTGGGAAGTATATTTTGGATTAGTACTCATATAGTATGACTCAAAATCGCAGAGAAAATAGGGGGTCAGTGTGCATCTTACTGAACTTATGGTACAATTAACTTGACCTTTTCGCACTTAAATTTTAACTCTTTGATTTATAACGTTATCTCTAATTTCATTTTATCAGATGTTACTACGTTAATAAATTTAATCTTATTTTACATAAAATGGTTTGAATAATATTTATCATTAAACAAATTTTGCAAATTAACGCGCGATTATGATTGTGTGACCTTTTTGCAGTAAAAAATAACATATTTGGGGCATTAAAAACTAGATAGGCAATAAAATATTTTCTTATATCAAGCTTTTTAGGAGTTAAGTGCTGATCATTTCCAAGTATCTAGTAGTTTAAAATAACGAAAGAAAAAGTTGGGGTCAGTGATGTTAATTTTGAAATATTGGTCAAAATATGTAATTTTCAGGCAAAAAATGGTGTAAATTTTATCTTGACTTCTTTAACATATCTTCATTTCTTGGCAAAGTTTGTTAAGGGAAGGTGTAAAACTTGTTCTAAAAATATAAATTAAGACATATTAAGGGGGCCGACTATAGTTTTATTGTGTGAAAACTACAATAGCAAATCTCCTCATTTTTATACCATATATAACTTACATGAACTTCGGTGTACATGCAAAGTTTGGGGGAAATCTACCGTCCAGGTATTTTTGAGGGACCGTCTCAAAATACAGGTACATTTACTATTGGATTATATAGGAAAATGACAATTTTTAGCACTTTAAAGCAAATTATAAAAATACTACAATAGAGATTTTATGAGTAATACTATATTTTACAATATTTGTAAGAAACACAAAATTCTACCGTCTTGTTTACAGAGGGGGCATCTCAAAATGCAAAAGAATTAGCAAATTTTACCATCTTTATAGAGTAGTACAAAATATGACGTACACTATGGATTCACATAAACACATAATAAAAATAATGGAGATATTCTAAAATTTCTATGTTTTAAATTTCAAGAGCGTTTGTTTATTACTTTTTCTTAAATAATATTTTATTACCCCTTTCTTTAAGAGCTACAGATTAACATAACGCCAATAAGACATTGCAGCGACGCCAACCTATCTATCAATTGTAAAATCAGTTAAAAAATCAGTTATATCAAATTGTAATTACATTTTCATACCTATAATTTCTTAATTTTGTTTAATTTTAATAGTTAAGGGAAAAAAGTTTCATTAAAACAGTAAATACGCTTCATTTTACTATGATGCGCGAAATATTGCGCAATGGAAACTATAGTTGGCCCCCTTAATATTCCTGCAATATCATACCGGAAAATATTCTCCGAGTAAAAGTATGTGAGGCTAAAGTCTAAGACATTAAATTTAATAATTGTGAAGATTTGCAGAAATTTTTGCTGAATATCCTTCCACCACAAGAAAAATAGTCCCTCATAAATCTTGCTTCTTTGTAGATTTTTACGCAGTTTTTTCGATGAATGTTAAAAAATTTACATTGCATAATATAAATATTTTATAAAAATTGAATTTTAATCAATATTTTTAAGTAAGAGGTTCTGCGTGAACTTTTCTAAAAAGCTGACGAGTGACTTACCTCAAGAAATATTATTTCACAAAAATATACCTTTGATACATAAAGGCTGTAGCTCCAACCATTCAAAATTATGATCATGGTTAAAGTTTTTCTTTAAAAGTAAGTCAGTTTATGGTTAAAGGTCAACACGTATGGTTCACACATACGGACATTTTTTATCATAAATATATAACTGTAAATTTGAAAGCCCTAGCACCATGCATTCAAGGTTAAAACTTGCTAAAATTGTACAAAAATGGTCAAATATGATGGTAAACAAAAAATTAAATTACCTATGCAACCTTTTATGTTCGAGGTTCCCGACTCGTACGTTGTATTTTCAGCTGGACATTTCTTGCACCAAAACCTGTCAGAAACAGGGAGACTCGTGTCGTTTGCTGAGACATTTTTGTAGTAGCCAACTGGACAAGGCTCACATTTCTCAGTTCCATTTTCTAGCTCCAAACCTTCCTCACAAATATCTAAAATAAAATGCAAAAAGGAAAATCATTTTACAAATGGGAGGACTTATAAAACAAAACTTCTAAATATCTGATCCATTTGAAAGAGTTGTTTTGGGAATGATTTTGTTTTCTTGCGTCTTTCCTTTTTTCTCCCCAGCTGAAAAAGTGGGGGATATTAATATGGGTCTGTCCGTCCGTCTGTCCGTCTTTCTGTCTGTCTGTAACGCTTTCGTTTCCACACGATATCTCGAGAACCCTTCGAGCTTTTGCAATGAAATTTTGCATAGCAACTCGCTATAGACTAAAAAAGAACCCTATTGATTTGATTTTGAGGTCAAAAGGTCAAAGGCCAAGGTCATAAATTCGCAGCAAATTCTGTCAGTTATAACACTTTCATTTCCGCGCGATATCTCGAAAGCCCTTTTAGATTTGCAATGACATTTTACATAACAACTCCCAGTGGCCTAGGGAAGACCCCTATTGATTTTGAGGTGAAAAGGTCAAAGTTCAAGGTCGTAAATTTATACATTCTGTCTGTGTGTAACACTATCCTTTCCGGGCATTATTTCAAGAAGATTTTGGGCTTTTGCAATGTTAATTTATACCAAAACTCCCAAGAACCTCTCTCATCCCTCTCAAAGTGTACCGCCCCGTTTGTTTTATTAGTATTTCTTGTATTACATGTCGCTATTTTTAGCACAGGGGAATGAGGAGAGTTATAAGTTATTACGTATAAAACAGGTTCTCGTCGGACTTTATATTCTTATTGCATCTATTAGAACTGTTTAATAAAGGTTAAATTAGACACCATTCATTGCGTAAAATTTTGACAATATCGAACGTTAATATATACATTTATCCCATGTTTCACCCTCTATCCCGTTGATATAGCTCATGTGATATCGTTTTCGTATCACACAGTTGTGACGTCACAATGGGTATTGCGCTAGAGTGATGAAGTAAAATGAAGTGGAGTCCTATTTAAGGTAGGTCGCGGGTTTGCTTTTGTCATCAATTTTGGTACACAATTTTGACGATTCGAGCGGTTGTTTTGTGCACATTTGATTATGACGTCAGTTACGTCACAAAGGCAACGTCACGTTGTTTCCCGTTTAATTCTCTGCAAATGACTTCAAGTCTGTATGAATTTAAAAGTAGATTTAACACAAAGTGCATGCTTTTGTACGTAAACCTCGTACATGTTTTATAATTAAATTTCAGTCTGAATGCTGGTGTGATAATATGTAATGTCTTAGGACTGATTAAATACAATACCAAGTGAAAGCAATAAATTATATTTGAAGTGTAACTAAACTGCTTAAAGTCAATCAGAATAAATCAGCGTAAAAGTTATGGCAGAAAGAAAGTTTTCATGAATAAAAAAATTGCTTAGCGAGAAACATGAGGGATTGTATGCGTTATTTGAGACTCAGGGTAACTTGACTTCAAATCAAAGCCGGGGCGAAAATATGCGTATACCTTTCAGGATGTAAAATTAATCCTCATCACTAAAAACGAGTTATACATTTGTATTTAATTACAAGTATTTTCCTGTGTTTTTTTTTAATTATCATTATTAATATTGGTTGGTTGTTATGTATTTAAATCTCGTGCACTCGCCTTGTTTTGCTTACTAATACCGGGTAAATTGTGAAATGCATTTAAAAACCAAATTAATTCAAAAACTTGGATTTTAAGACTTACAAACACTGAAAACAATTTACAAGTATGATTTTTTTTTCTATACATTTTTTATGACAAAAACTCAACGTGTAAAAGCTAAATGGAAGTGTTTTACTTTTTGCGTATTGAAATTTAATTCAGAAAATTCGAAATTAAAAAAAGCTTGAGATTTAGAGCCATGTACTATAGCTTGCGACGAATATAGAAAGAACATTGAAGGTACCCCCCCCCCCCCGCCCACTTATTTCCTCATTATAGGGATGTTTTCCGTACCGTTTTCAAATAAAGTGATCAAATTTTTGTTTTATGTCTGAAATCCTATTGACCATGCATTTCCTAAAAATACAGGTACTAATATTTTTTCACTCGCGGTCAACATTGTCGCTGCATGTTAATGTCGCTGCACGAGGATTATTTATACCTTTCATTCTGACTTTGTGATCACAATATGAATTTCACAATACTAGTGAAAATAAGTTGCTGGTCATCCTAATATGTCTCCGCAATGAATTAAATGATGAATAAAATTAAATTTGGTATCGATATCACCTTTTAATTCTTGCATATTCTATAGGTCAATATATTTATACTCGTACTGTAAACGTGACTACGATCAAGATATGACGTTGTAGATATTAATAACGTCATAAACGCCACATTTTAGTATTTTAAAAGAAAACTTTGAAATTATTTAGCAAAAAATCTAGCGAGAAGACATATTGCTTTTTTAATTTTAATGGTTTTGTTTTTACCTCATCTTGACATTTTGAAATTCCTGAATAATTCATCTACGTCTTTAAAAAGTTATCCAACCTTTTTAAAAGAAACTATTTTCAGAAATTGGCTTAAAAACGTCATTTTCCCATATATTTCAATGGTAAAAGCGTCAAAAAGGATTAAAAACTATACCGCGTGTACAGTACTATAACTTTAAAAATACTTAGGCAAATTTGATAAAAATTGCAGATACGCTTTAAATTCTAAGGAACATTTTATCAAATTTTCAGGATATGTTTTCTCGTAAGAATTTTTAAGCAGCAAACCCGCGACCTACCTTAAAAACAGTGTTAAACATAATCTGTGGTGTAAAAAACATGGGATAAAAAGAATCTCACATGATTTGTAGTTAGATATGATTTTTATCCAACTCGTGTGTTTTTATCCCCTCGCCAAGGCTCGGGGATAAAAAGCACACAACTCGTTGGATAATTGCATATCCTCAGCATAATCACTCTGAATACTGCAGCCCCTTAATTGCTAAGTACTGGGATTTGTATTAAATAATAACACAAGTCTGGTGGAGTTGCAGTTACAGAGTTTTGATTAAGAAATAGGGCGGGAGGGCGGGGAAATCTTTTAGGAATTACCCGTTTATTTGGAACTATTGAGGACGTATACCCGTCTCGTATTATTCGTATACTTAAGGTTCGCCCCCTCTTCTTGAATGATAATTAGTGCTGCGCTTATCACGTGATTTCGCTGAGGGTAATTGCATATCCTCAGCATAATCACTCTGAATACTGCAGCCCCTTAATTGCTAAGTACTGGAATTTGTAATAAATAATAACACAAGTCTAATCACTTGCAATGAATATGTTTATTTCAAATCCCAGTACTCAGCAATTAAGGGGCTGCAGTATTCAGAGTGATTATGCTGAGGATATGCAATTACCCTCAGCGAAATCACGTGATAAGCGCAGCACTAATTATCATTCAAGAAGAGGGGGGCGAACCTTAAGTATACGAATAATACGAGACGGGTATACGTCCTCAATAGTTCCAAATAAACGGGTAATTCCTAAAAGATTTCCCCGCCCTCCCGCCCTATTTCTTAATCAAATTGCAAGAATATCATACTTGTGTTTTATAATTACCTATACAGTGGGAAGCCCCTGTCTCGTAGGTAGTCTCACCATCTGGACATTTCTTGCACCTAAACCTGTCAGAAGAATCGTGACTTGTGTCGTTTGCTGAGACATTTTTGTAGAATCCAACTGGACAAGGTATACATTTCTCAGTTATATTTTCAAACTCCGTTCCTTCCACACAGATATCTTATATTAAATAAAATAAAGGAAAATCTTTTACAAATAGGAAGTCGTTTTAAAAAAAAGAATTCAGTAAATTAGTTACAAATAATGCAAAGCAGCTGATCCGTTTTAGGAGCTATAATAAAAAAGGGGAGGGGGTAGAAATCCTCCGAAAAATAGAAGGCCGTTTAACAAATGTAATTAAATTATTCCTTGTTCCCTGTTTCATCCTATTGCGTGGAAAAAGAGGAGTTATTCATCAATTCATAAAGACCCTCATAATGAAGTTTCTCATTTTCAAACAGACATATGGTACTGCATTATAAATTGGCAAGGAGGAGTACAGGCATCGGCTGTAGACATGTCTTATCTGCCGTATATTTTCTTTGTCTAGATTCTGAAAATTTGATTTTTCAAGGCAAAAGAACCATTTTTTTAATTTTCAAATTGATGACTAACAATTCAAATTAACAAATGCCAACTTTAACAACGTTACGTATGATGAAAAAAGGCAAATATTTTCATATTTTCATATATTTTTAATATATAGAGACTTTCCCATCTCTTACGCCACATAACACTATAAAGCTTCAGTTTAGATTTTCAAACTTAAAAGGAGCATTACTTTTTCGTAATTTGTAAACGAAAGTCAAAAATGAAGGAAAAACCATATTAGGAAAAAATATTTCAAAATTATCTCTCATATATGCCTGCTGTTCAATCCAATTCACTGAATAATATATATTTTAATCTAAGCCTCATAGAATGGCAAAGTAAGCATTTATTTAATTAAGTAAATAATAATAATATTTATTACTCCCAGTATCGATAAACATACATTATACAATTCTTCTCATGAAAAGAAAACTTGTAATTATATAATTATACCTATACAGTGGGTAGCCCTTATCTCGTAAGTTGTCTTCTCAGGTGGACATTTCTTGCACCAAAACCTGTCAGAAACACTGAGACTCGTGTCGTTTGCCGAGACATTTTTGTAGTAACCAACTGGACATGGTTCGCAATTCTCAATTCTATTTTCTAACTCCATTCCTTCCTCACAAATAGCTAAAATATTTTTTTTTAAAATCTCTTACACATGGGAAGACATAAAAATATTCATAAAAAAATACAATGTACATTAAATCAGTAAATTAAATTCAAATTTTATCAAAACATCTTATTCGTTTGAAAGAGTTATGATAAGTGGTCGACATTTAGTATAATTAGTCAATTACATGTCAACTTTGTCTTGAGATATATATATATATATATATATATATATATATATATATATATATATATATATATATATATATATATATATATATATATATATATATATATGCAAGCTTAAGGGGGTCGACTGGGGTTTCCATTGCGCAATATATCGCGAATCATAGTAAAATGAAACATATTTACTGTTTTAAAGCAATTTTCACTTAATTAAACAAAATTAAGAAATTGCAAGTTCAAAAAATTAATTACAATTTTTCACAACTGATTTTTAAATCGATTTTCAACCGATGGGTAGATTGACGTCGTTATTAGGGTGGGTATGATAATGTGAATGTCTTAAAGAAAGGATAAAAATGTTATACGATAAAAAGAAATAAACACGTATATGTTCTTGAAAAGTAAAACATAGAAATTTAAGAATCTCTGCATCATTTGTATTTGTATCAATCATATTTTGTTGTACTCTATACGAACAGGAAAATTCGTAAAAGATATATATGCCGTATATTAGTGTTTTATTTAAAAAAAAAATAAATATATGTGGTGTCTCATTAAGTTATATAAGTTATATACTTTCTGCAAGTAAGACAATTCCACTCCATCACTTTTAAAAGTTATGAAATATTATTTCGTAAAAAGTATTTTCTCTCCGAGTCAGATATTAAACCGCCTCTTATTGAAATAATCATGATCACGTGATCTCGCAGCTCACAGCAAACAATGGCCCAATCTCGTGAATGAGCCGAAAAGCATGATGGTCTACTACGTTTTTTTTAATTTACTACAAACACGTGGGTTAGGGAAATTTAGGATGCGATTTCAAATGACTGCTTGAAAGCCAATTTACAATTTTTCTGAAAAGTGTTTGAAAAAAGTAGGAAGAAAAGGTACTAATTGAGAATTCCCATGCTCACATCAACAAACAAATTCAGTTTTTCTTGTTAAAAAATACTTTGAAATACTGCTCACAAAGTTTCTACAAGTAAATAAGACTCCAGTTTTTAAACTCGATATATTCGTAAATTTCCCATGTAACTAGTTGAATAAGTTGTTGCTCAGTCATTTGTTACTAGAAATTTAAAGTTTATGCATTTATAAAAAAAGACTTAACTTTCACATTTTTTTTAAAAAAATTACCTCTATATTAATTTTCATGTGCATTGATCGTAGAACGTGTATTAAGTAGCATACTGTATGTTTCGAAGTTGTATACGTTGTAAGCATTGTCAATACGTGAGCAAACCTCAGAGTTGGTTGCTTTTTGTACCGAGGAATAGCCACGAGAAATTGTCTTTACACTGACAGCGCTAGTACAGCTCGGGAAAATTGTAAACAAACGAACCTGTACAATTGAGTGGGGATTACTCTTATTTTTATCATTGATAATTATTTGTATGCAAATCTGAGCATGGGATTAGAAGAAAATAATGTACATAATGCATTAAGCGTGTAAAATGCTTAGAAAAATGCATCACCTCTTTCCGAGAGAGATTTTTAAAAAACTAGCCTTTTCTAAAAACACATGTAGTAACCCATAAATGCATTAAATGCAACTCATTGAGCTGATTGGTTAATTTGTTAGTCATGTTGGTTCCTCACTGAACAGACGTCACAAAAAATAGTATCCTCGACCTGATGATTCTCACGATGCTTTTCCCGCGCACATGCGCAGATCCAGCAAAAAACGTCAATTCTTCAAAAATATGCATTAGAATATCGTGTTCTTTTCCCGACCAGTACTTAGTTAATACCAAATAATATTTCGTCGAATTTGCAAGAATGCTAAATTTTTGATAGCTTATCATACTTCAGAAATTTTTGTTTTGTTTCAGCTGTGCAAAAATTGACAATTTCCTAAATAATCGTATAGTAAATGCACATGTATTATCTTGAAAATACCTCGAGAGTAGATTTTCCCCAAACTTGGCATGTACACTGACATGAATGTAATTTAAATATGTATGGTATAAAATAAAGAGTTTCCCTATTGTAGTTTTTACTATAAAAAAAAAAACTCAGTCAGCTCCCATTAGGTATTTTGGGGTGAAAAATTGGATTGACTTAAAACATCTAGCTTCAAAAAATTGTCATTCTTCAATTGAGTAAAAAATTGTATTTAAATTTTACACTTGACAAGTACTGTTGAAAAGTTGCAAATAACAAATTAAATTGTGATAAAACAATTACGCAATGTATAGAAAACAAGAAGTTTACCAGCAAATGCTCACTAGAAACACCCCGCTCTGATGTAAGTATGTGCACTATAATGCAAACATCTAATTTCTAAAAAAATAAATCCCACCATTTCGATTGCATAAAATCGTTGTGCTAAAATTTGAAGCATCTGTAATTAGTCATTGCTGGGAAAACTGTAACGAGAATTAAGTAGGAACAAACTGGAAGTTGATATCAGATTTGAACAAAAATGAAGACCAGGTGAGTCTAAAAGCCGTCATTACAAGAAATATAAAAAAGGAACAAGAATCAAGTTCAAAAGTAAAAAAAAAAAAAACAATATCGGGAACAGAGGGACCACACACCTCTAAAATCCTCAGAGGGGGAAAGAATTGCTCTGAAGGGGTAAGCATCCCCCCTGTAATCCGGTCACTACCAACATGTGCCCCTTAGCACGATGTATCAGATGGAAAAATCCATGGACTATTCAGCGTGTAACTTATACATGTTATATGTTTACAATTTGTATGAAAAGGACAGACAGTGTTCGACATTATAATTGATTGTATTTGCTGACAAATCATCGTATCGACGTTGGAAGTTGTGGAATTTTATTTCAAATCAGACTGTTGATATCAAAGGGGATTGGTGGGTGGGCATTCATTGTCTCGCTCTTATCATAAAATTTAAATGAAATCAAAAACAGCTGTCAGAGAGCAATTACTCTAGTATGCCACAACTTCGTTGCAAATCTCGTTTTTATATATTGATGTCAATGCAATGCTTTAACATCTGTGTACAAACTCCAGATTTGCAATCAAAGGAAAATTAGATGATTTTTTGTCAAACCATTTTTCGTTCCTAAGCTATAAAATTCATTCTGAACTTTTCGGGATATTTTTGGACAAATAGAATACAGCTGTTATGTAGAAATATAATTGTGAAAATTTTTAACACTAGGATAAAATATGGAAGGAATAGGAAATAGGAATGTACATAAAATCAACGCTTATTTCCTTCAACAGATAATAATCATGGTTCTCTTTCTTGATGATATAAATTATAAATTACCTATACAATCCTTTATGCTCGTAGACCCTGTATCGTTAGTTGTCTTCTCAGCTGGGCATTTCTTGCACCAAAACCTGTCAGAAACACGGAGACTCGTGTCGTTTGCTGAGACAGTTTTGTAGTATCCAAATGGACAAGGTTCACATTTCTCAGTAACATTTTTTAGCTCCATTCCTTCCTCACAAATAGCTTATATAAATTGAAATAAAGGAAATCCTCTTTAAATGTAAAGATCTTTAATAAACACAAAAAAGTATTCAGTTAAATGTATAAAAGTATTGTGTTGGAAATTGGATAAAAGATAAAAATTTTACATATGTATTTGCAGAAGCCTCCTGATGCGATAATCGATTATTACAATAAGTTTCTATGATATATTTTGAGAAAGCAAATTAGTATAAAATGAGATTTAAATGTATAAGTTGATTAAACATTTTGATCACATTTGAATTATTATGACCTTCCAAATGTCTCGTGATGTTTGACTTCATTATGCAAAAAAGTGTGATAATGTGACTAACTTCAGCTCATCAAAAATTGAATGTCACTTTTGTAAGTAAATGTCTTTTAACATTCTTAAGAGTTCACATAAACTAATAATGATTTTTTAAATAAGGGAAATGAGTACCTGTGAGAAGTCCAATAAGTTGTTGGATGACCATAGACATGTATATTGCCAACCAGAAATTAAAAACTTAAAACGTATACTCCAAAATAACTATGCAAAGTTTAAGAATAATTCAAGAAATAATTTTCTTGGTAACTCATAAGATTTGTAAATATCTGAATGCCATTGTAAAAAAAATAGAAGCAAGACTCAAGAGAACATGACAATGGAGTGTATTTTTTTTTAAATCGTTAAGACGAAATTTCAATTTCTGTAAATGATTTTTTTTTTAAAGTGTTTAACAATCAACTGGAACTTTTTAAAAAATTTTTAAAAGGATACTCACGAATACAATCTGTTTGAGATGTACTTGCATTGTTGTATGTAGTCATATTCATTCCACATTGTTCACATTTATCAATCCGAGACGAATTTTCCCGGTAAGTTCCGATTTCGCAAAATTCACAAATGAAGGTAGAAAGTAGCTCTTTGCCTTCTGGACATCCTAAAATATCACGAAAAATATCATAAAATAGAATTTAGTTTTAAAATACTTTATAATTCTTTAAATATTTTCTAACATTGTTTCTGTATTTGGTCTATTGAACTTCTAATACAAAACACTGATTGTACATGACCTTTAGTTATGAAAAACAGTTATCAAGCTCGGAATACAAATCATGAGCATATCAAACGCGGACCTCTAAAAAACAGTAAAATTCGGATCAGATGCCACGGAGGCGTAAGCATCCCCTGTTGACCGGTCACACCACTGACATCAGATGAAATAAATACTTATCTACTGTGTAATTCCATAGGAGAAAAAAAGGTTAGTGTGTTCCTGGTACAATATTTCAACAATTAATCTTTATATTAATGTATATCTATAATATTTAAAGAAATTAATAGGCGGCTAAAGATTGATTTCCACTAAGCAATTGAATTGACATAATGAAACTTTAATCTTCATTGTGTGCAGGGTTTGTTTTTTTTTTTGGCATCAAACACATTTGAATTCACACAATTCACGAGGTTGACTTCTGTGGAATTCGTACATTTTCACGGTAGTTTATAACAGATGTCCTAATCCCATTTAAAGGCATATTTATATAGCATGCAATTCTTATTGAATATGTCATTGAAGTTTTGTTTTCAGTCAAAATAATGTACTTTTATTTAATTTAGAATTTAATAGTCGTTTTACAGCTCAAGTATCAAGCCTTGATATTGGTGAGGAAATAGTTCTTACTACTAAGTACTTGGTCTTTGTGTATCCATTTTAAACTGTTGGGTACATAAAATTTTTATGTCCAAAGAATGTGTTTTGCTATTAATTAACATGATCTAATGGGGGAAGACAATTGTATATAATTATATGGTATTTTTTGGTCTCTTAGTCTGAACTTTTGCTTTATGTAACAATAAAATACATGTAATTAAGCAGTGTACTCTATTTTCCATATTTTTCATTCAAACAAGCACTGTCATTTTTTCTCAATACAAGTTAATTACATGTGCGATCCTTACAAAAAACCGACCTTTACAATCCTCGTTCAGCGCTCCGTCTAAATCATAGTCCACGAGAACCTCGTCTTCAGATTAAAGCAAAATGTTAATTTTATATGATTATATAGTTTTATATAATTAATCATTGATAAAGATTGAAATATCTTAACATATACAAATATACCCTACAAATCCACCTAAATACTATGAATTTAAGATGTTTTTCTAGAAAAAAAAATATATTTTTTTGAGATTAAAAACATTTGTAACTGTAATATTTCTACCAATTTTTTTCTTTAAGTTACCTTAATCAATATATAGTTTAATAAAATTGACTAAAGTATGCACTTTGATACTTTGGTTTACATAACTCATGAAATTTTTCGAAGCTTTTTATCAAATGTTAGAAAAAGAATATTAAGGCAATGTTTTAATTTATGATTATGTTATCATACAAGTACAAATAACACTTCCTTTTAATACAAGGGGAATTAAAACAAATTATTTTTAACATAAAAGGAATGTCATTGATTCCATTCTCACCGCCCCAGAGGAACCCGCAGTATTCTTCGTCTATTAGTCCATCCCTGTCATTGTCTTCGCCATCTCCTGGGATCTGATGTGAAGTGAAAGGCTACAAAATGTAAAGGAAATGAGGGGGAAATACACGGCACAGAAAATATTAACTATATAGACAGAATTTGGATCGTGTGCACAATCTTCTTTTACATTATGAATATAATCTGATTGGCTTATACCTTTCTTTCTTATAGACTGAATGCATCGAGTTTAAATTAAACTATAAAACACTACCTCAGTAGTTTTCGATAGGCCAGATTTTAGCGAGAGTTATTTCCCGTTGGCCGCCGTACTGGAGGTCCAGATGCTCATATTCCTTCATTCATTGTTCAACCAATTTAAAATTTTTATATTTGCTATTTTGAATTAGAAATCATTATTTTTCTGAAGTATATAAATTTTATCTTTTCTGAAGTATCTAAATTTAAAACTATCTAATAGAGCGTTTGCATAAGTGTTAAATTAATTTTAAGTTTTCATTGAAATTTCTTGAATTTTTAAAATGTAAAATGTCGCCCTTTATTATGAGTTATTTAGTAAAATATGCTAAAACACCCTTTAAATAGCACAGGAATTGGATTCAGTGGTATTTATATGATAATAAAATAGATCCCAAATTAAGAGTATAAGTACATGTAGTATCATGTAAATGTTTTGGCAATAGCCTATTTATTCAAGAATAATGGCATTTGGGAACCACGAGGAAGAAGAGGGGCCGTTTGGGGAACAACTGTAACCGCACTGCACTGGAAAAAGATTTAAAAGTAATGTTTTCTACACAAAAAAGTTAATAAAAGAACCTCTCCAAACGTTATACAGATAGTTCTTGTTTTCTTAGGTCGAATATAAATTAACTTACGTAAATTCTCTCCGTGATGGTAAATTTTGACAGGTCAGATTCCGTACGGTCCAAGCTTCTGTATACATGAACTTCGGAATCTGTATTTGGATCTGGTGCAACATGTACAAAGTCATACCCACTAGAATGGGATCCATCTTGGTTTTTTCGTTCAAATGATGCCATTACGATTATAGGCTTGCTAGAAATTACTCTGAATTCGAGATTTGACGTGTTTTCCCAGTCAAGATTTTCCATTTGACCTCCTTTTTGAATGAGACGATATTCATTGAACACATTCTCTGAATTCGCGTGATTTATAGAAGTCAAGTTTAAAACCGTGTTCTCATCCGTTGATATCAGTACCAATTTTTCTTCAGAAAGATTGTCTGATGTTTTTATATTGAATCGAGTTCCAGAAATTGGAAGGACATGATTTATTAGGTAGTGTTCAGAGGTATCAGCCTTATATTTGATAAAACACAGGACTGATATAATATGACTTGATGTAATAAATGTTCCATTGACTGTCAAAAGTTGGATTGCTTGTTGTTTACCTTTTTGGAGTGTTAAAATTTGTGTATTCTCAAGATAAGTGAATTTCGTGTTATCAAATATTCCAGCTACAAGGCATCCTTTCTGAGAGACAGTTTCCGGTATTGGGGTAAGTGGAATTGTTGCAAAATACTCGGTCTGTAAAATATCCACTGGAGGCACGATAAATTTGTTAGAACATTGTGTCCCTGAATCACACATGTACTGGCATGATAATAAAATTTCTTTTTCATTATTTGATTTTACAATCAAGGGATCTCTTGTAAGATTTTTTATTTCAAATATATTATCTATCCTGGGGACAGATAGTGGACTCCAATTTATGGTCGGATATTTAGAAAACCTAACTGATATTTCATCTTGTCCACTGACAGAACATTTTAAATACGTATTCAAAACAGTATACGTATTCAAAGGAATAACCGGAATAACAAACAGAGTTCCAAACAAATCTGACTGACCTGAAAGATTAAAAATAAATGGTCTTAATAATAACTCTGTTCTCTGTTATAAACTAAACATCTCAATATACGTATATAAACTAACTAAAGTAAGATACTAGTAGCTTCGCCCTACGTAACTTTTCGAAGAAAAATCAATTGCTGAAATTTTAAATAATTAAAGTGTGTATCTCGTCATTCTTAATATTGTGATTAAATACTATTTCTGTGAATTTATTTTGGTATATCTAACTTGGTCATTTTCTGTCTTTCAATACTTATTAACAATGACTTTACTAAATAAGAGTAAATGATCAAATCCGACAATGTTGTTCCATAGAAATCCTCCGTATGAGTCCATACCTTTAACAATTGGATTTACCGAAAAAAGGAATAAAGTTTACATCATTTAATGTTATAAATCAATACGTATTTTCTAACTGATGTTAAAAGGGTCATTCAAAATTACACGAGAGCATATTATTAAAGTTAATTAAGGCTTGTCTAAAATTTTAAAAATGTGTACACTATATATGTGATACCGGGTATACAAGTTTAGCTGCAACACTCACTTACCAGTGTTTGACTGTGCTTTGCAATCGTCTAACTCTATAATCAAAAAGGAAGTAAAAATAAATATTGTTTGTTTAAAAAAAGTTTAGAACTTCACATAATAAAAAACATCTTGAGCAAAGCTAGTTAAAGTACAAATATTGAATTAATTAGTTACCGGTAGCATTTCTTTTTCAAAGGAACCTAACAATAATCTGGTTGAACCGCAGAAAAACAGTTCAAACATTTAATTTTCCATGATTTATCTGTATTACAACAAGAAAAGGGGGAAGAAGGCAACCAGCCATTCGATTAACATTTTTAATCTTTGAAAAAATACGCTTGGAGAAAAAGGGCACCTTGTTCCAAAAATTGTCAGCCCCCCTCCACTGATACTGCGTGTGTGCCCTTCAGACCACATGTGGCGGATACCATTTTAAATTCCCAAATGGCATAAAAAATTTAATGAAATATTCAAGTTTTAATGAACTCATTTACATTTTTTATAAATGTTACATGTAGTTTACAATTTTCAAAACACCCAAATTATAATTTATGACACGAAATAATGAAGTTATTTACAGTCCACTATAATCATGATTGGAATTCGAATATTATTTTGTATTTACAAATATTATGTAAATATGTCACACTGATCATTAGTTCTACATCCCATGGGTTTTTTAACTGTGTCATCTTCTTGCAGAGAATTTGAAAGCTAGCTTTAGTTTATTTTTATCCCTCCCCCTTCCCACTCCCCAGAAAAAATATATTCCTTGCTGTTTTAATGCATTAAATTTATATGAGAAATATGTATAAATGAATAAACAGGAGAAAATCAAATGTTATATAAAATGTGTTGCTCCAATTTGCCCATTAAACCAAAATTGTGAAAATATTTCCATTTTCATGTTGTTTTCCAATAGTTTAGAAATCATAGTTTACTTTAAAATGCTAAAAATACATGGTCTTACAAAAATATGAGGAAATAAAAAATCGTAGTAAGAAATATATATTTTGCTTACCAGTTTCACTCAAGAAAGCTGAAACTGACAAAAACAATGATATTTAAGCATTGATGTGAAAGTAAAATAACGAAGTATCCGAAAATGCTTTAGAAATTGACCTAATTCGATTACTTAGGATTGAATCGAAATACATGCAAATTCTTTCATAAGTGCTTCTTTACTCCTACATATATTTGAACTTTATTAAGACTCAGAAAAATAACTCTCAGAGAATGTAATGGAACTAGAATTCATAAAATAAAAGGATATAATTCCTATGCCTGATACATTTCTTTACTGGTCAAAAATTTGAATAATCTTTTTATTGTGTAAATTTGTTTCAAATATTGAAATTCGGCTTTCATTGAAATTTCAACGAAATAATACTGCTTACCGTCGGTCAATTGTTTTTAATAGAAAAGGATACAATTCCTATGTATGATACATTTCTTTACTGGACAAAAATTTGAATAATCGTTTTACTGTGTAAATTTGTTTTAAAATATTGAAATTCGTTTTTTTTAAATTTCAACAGAATAATACTGCTTACCGTCGGTTAAATTGTTTTAAAATCAAAATTCTTGCAGAAAACAAACAATAGGGTCTTTATAATTAATTCATACACAATAATGGGGTTCCTTTAATTGATTTACTTTTGGTTAACAAGTACAAAATCTTGCAAAAGTTACACAAATACTCTTGCAAAATTTAAAAATATCTTATGATGAAATATACATCAATGTATTCGTAAAAATTTTTTTTACTTATTTGCAATCATAAAAATATGAAGATTACAAACAAGAACCAAGCATATATTTCCATTAAAATGGTATAAACTGTGAGCAGAGCAAACTCGAGCCTCCAAACCACAAGAGCTGGCTTCAGGGGCTGTTAGGAGTAAGCATATTATCCACCACAGCTGTAGACTCCTGTGTTAACCAATTCAACGTCAAAGATCAATCCAATGATTTTCTTATATATATTTTTGATAAGAAGGATACGGAGATAACGAATGGTATTCAATATCAAAGTCCATAAAACAATACAAAATAGGAGCAGAGCAAACACGGACCATAAATTAGATATCATTGAGATGGTGGCCATCTCAAAAAGCCCCGCTTTCAACAATTAACATGAAAATGTAAGGTAGTTTAAAAGGGTTTATTTTGAAGAGGAACATTTGTGTAATACAGTAAAGGTCATTTAGTACGACTTCACGGATATTGCGAATTTTCAGATATATATCGAAGTTATCTTGTATCGCCAGTTACATAAATTTACTGGAATTAAGGAGAAAATATTATGCACCAAAGATTTTAAACAGAGAGGCTAATTCTGATCATGACGTAGAAACATCGACCATGGTCACTGCACATCCATTGACCAGTGGCACTCTGTGGGTGAAGTATGAGCCAGATTGGACCAAGGAGAGAAAAAATATGCTCCGGACATGGATTTTTCATAAAATTCTGCTATGATCTTGACCTTTGATCTAGAAACATGGTTCAAGGTCACTGCATACTGGTCACCCAAAGTCACTCTGTGGGTGAAGTGTGAGCCAGATTGGGCCAAGAAGAGAGAAGATATGCTCCGGACAAGAGATCTCGGACGAATGGACGGGCGGACAGACTGATCACTATAGGGCGCCCGCCAAGCGGGGCCCTAATAACGAACTTACAACAATCGTCTTCATCTATTTGATTATCGCCATCGTTATCTATGCCATCTCCGGGCACCATTACCGGCCAGATATCCTCGGTCTGAAAGAAAGAACACAAAATGGAGATTTTATTAAAATGATTTCACCAAGTTGAAAATTAGATCATCTAGTTAATCATTTCTATGCATTCTGTTTTTCAAACCATCGAAAGATAATAGGAGGTAAGGAATGTATAAAAATTACATTTTGAGAATATGTTTGATTTGAACATAAGTATGTGGTTATAAAAACTTGTCGATCAGAAATCTACCTGGGATTCATCCATAAAACCACAGTTACTCCTAGGAAGCAGTTCGGATTCTTTATGCAAAAGGGTGCAACTTAGTATAAACTCGGGTAACTTCGGAAACTTTCTCCCACTGTATGCGTGATATTTAGACAGTGAAATATTCGTGCCATCTTCTTTTTCACCCTGTATGTAAGTGTAACTGAGAGAGTCATTTTTCATCAAGTCGCTTTTATCAATCTTGTATTTTAGTGGAATAATGTTTATCATAGATGTGTCGTCACTCCGAACAACAAATTGCGTCACAGTCACTGGTTTTGAGGACTTGATGGTGATTGGCGATGTTCCTAAAATACGTCTTTGTATTCTGTCGTATTTACCTTGGATGGTGACATGATCGTGCCCTAAAATATGAACTGTGGTGTTTTCATGTGCAGTTATCACCAAAATTCTGTCCCCCTCGGGGCTTTTCCCAGAGGGCACTACTACGTAGTAGGTTCCCCACAGTCTTACTGGTATGAGCTGTTCAATCATCAATAAATCCGGTATCCCTCCGACTTCTTCTTTTATAGTTGCAGAGTAAACAATGACATTTTCTGAGGCTTTAACATGTGTTCCAATGATATCACATTGTAATTCCAAAATTTTGAATTGGAAAGCAGGAATAATCAACACGTTTGTCTGATTTTTACAAAGTTTGCGGGAATAGTCATCGACAGTCGGGAATTCAATGTTAACTGTGACTGTTTTATTTTGAGGGTTTCCAAATGCAAGAGAGTAATTAACATGAAGATCAATGTAAGCAGGTACCACATATTCCTTTCCTAAAAGTTCATCTCTCATAATATGAAACCATTCATTGTAAATTTTTCCGAAGATATCCTTCTGGGAGGGAATTTGATGTATTGCTTTATTTTCGTCCAACTGGTGGGAGTAGAAAGGAAGACTGAATTGATTCCCGAATTGCTCAAAAGAAATATATGAATGGATGTCTGCATCAAAAGAAAGACGTCTTTTAAAAAGTCATTATAAATAACTCTTATCTAATAATTATCATATTCATCATACAATGCACTATCAACAGAAGGGTATTACAATCAATCAGGATTTTTTGTAGACATTAATTTAACAACTGTCTGCAAAATAATTTAAACGACTGTCCGCTCGATGTTTTTTTTTACATTTTATATGCTGCACTGCATATCCCTGACATTTTTTCTTTGTACTTTGTAGCACTTATAATTATCACAGCATTAAATACTAGTACGTTGCCATGAAAAAAAACCCCGAAGATTAAAGTATAGAAAAGGTATGATTATATGTTTAAATCATTACCCCCCCCCCCCCAAATCAAATTGAATAACAGCACAAAAAATAATTTTAAAATTATTTCAAAGTTTTATATCTAGACACTTTTTTTAAATTTTAATAATCTAAATGTTTGAATAAATCAGGTTTGGAATATCAGAGGAAAATGCAGGGTCGGGTTTTGACTTTAAAACTTGAAATATGGAAGAGTGCAAGATTGAACGGGTTAAACAAATTGATAACCTCTTTTCACATTTGATTGCATGAATAGCCTGTGGTAGGCCACTTCAATAATCACAAATACAATCTTGTATTCTGAAGCTGAAGAATGAAATTAAGGACTTGCTTTGGATTCTTCAAAAGGGTAATTAGAAATTTCAAGGGAATGAAGTTAAGTTTACTCTGCGAATGTGCATGATGTGATAAATGTTTAGACTATGATGTGATAAATGTTTAGACTATGATGTAATAAATGTTTAGACTATGATGTGATAAATGTTTAGACTATGATGTAATAAATGTTTAGACTATGATGTGAAAATGTTTAAACTTCGCCTACGTCCAGCTGAAACAAGAATACATGTATAAGCAGTCTTGCTGGAGGTCATTATTTTGTAAGTTCTATGGTCGGTTCAATGACCATGTCAGCAAAACAATTTATCATTCATTCAGACAAAAGATGGTTGTCATATTTGATACTAATTGAAAGGCCATTATATACACAATGAATAGTCGACGGAGTTTTCCATTATTTACTGAACATGACAAGGAGCAAACGACGGATGCGACCGCTAGACAGGGGAAACTCACTCCTTCATGGCACCTGATCCCACCTCTGGTGTTTTGAAGGTCCGTGTTTGCTCTGCTCCAATTTTGTATTGATTAATGGACTTTTGAGCTTGAATACTCTTCGTTATTTCCGTGTATTTAATTCATTCTAAAATTTTGGGAAAGTAGCAGACTACAAACAGGATGAAAGGCAGATTGTTTCATGTTTCCAATTTTGATTGTTCTTTGTGGAGATTAATGCAATATTTACAACATTGTTTCTAGTTATCCTAATGCGGTAAACTGATATGCATCTCCCAAAGTCAGATGAAAAAGCGAAGAAAAAAAGTGCACCCGATAATCAATGCATAGATGTGAGGGAAGTTTTTCAGGATGATAAGTTCTTTGTGTAATGGTTTTTCATCATAATTTGCATGCAAGGTTTTGGGGGTAATAGGATGTATATGTTTATTGGATAACCTGTATAGGAAGCAGGACATAAGTAAAAAGAATGAATAACATAATTGATTTATATAATTTATCGATTCATGTAGGTTGACAGAATATATTAAGTTTTAAACAGAGCGAGCAGCATTTGGACCTTTGGATTTGGTTTTTTTCCTCTGAACTGTGGTGTTAAAATCTAGAGTTTATAGCAAATTTTACAAATAATGTCTAATTGAAATAATGCGGTAAACTGAAAAGTATTTCTACGGAACCATAAAGGACTCTACACTTGTCGTGTTATAACTTTGTATATGGTCTTAAATTTTATCGTCTTTTCAACAAATACTCCTTATTTATACACATATCTTAAAATTAATATATTAAGATATTTTACAGGATTGTAGGCAACTTCTTTTGTTCAATAAATTTGATTGCTTTAAGTTTTTCTCGACAGAAATATTATATTGATTTTCAGATGTCAATCTAACGAAGATTTAATTGCATCAATATAGTATTGTCGATATGAAAAAAATAAGTATATAGTTATATCGCTATAAATAATTACATGAATATTAATGAGAAAGAAGTCAGAAAATTGTGTTTTTTGAAATAACTTCGCGGGGCGGGGAATTCTGATAAATCTTCATTAACTTGGGATTCAGTGAAAGCATATGTACCATGTATTTGCTATCTTGTAGGATTATAGGCTGAAACAAATTCAAAAATATTTTTTTTCAAAAAGGAGATGGAGAGACATCAACAGTTAAAATAAAGGCTAGATTAAAGTAGTTCTTTGTTTTACGCCCCATAGCGCATTGGTTTTCGCTAAAATCTTGAAAATTACAAGTCTTGTCATATTTTCAACAATTTTTCCCTGTATAATTTGAATGCTTTTCATTTTTAAATGTCTTTTATGTCCTTTGTTTTTGAAATAAAAAGAAACAATTTAACATTTCTAACTAACTAAGAAAAGAAAGATTCAAAAGAAATTTTAGTTACCGGTTTTTGAATCCAACTATTACTAATACAGGTCTGGATGACCCAAAATCATAAATCATTTACCAGTATTTGACTATTGAAGTACCTGACAGTATAAAGAATATAACTTTTTTCTCAAATATAAGTTAATGTTTTTGTTTTAAATTATTGAATTTGTTTCCTAAAATGCGTTTGTCTTTCAGTCGGACTTGAGTTACCTTATTAAATCTCAAAATATAAAAAGTGGTAAAACAAATGTATTATTTACTACGACCTAACGTGCGTATAATTATCAAATCAAAAGATTTTCAAAGTTAATAAATATTTATCACAAATGATTACCCAGATTCGTCCGATATCATCTATTCAGCCTTACCTTCTGTTAGGATTATTGGAGGAAAAATAAGCAGGATCAATATCTGTTGGTAAAAAAACATTTCATTACCAGATACAATTATACTGTCATATAAATCGCTAAGATTTATCTTAGTAAAGATAACACGAAAAGCAAAACGTACATTCTTAAAAGGAAGGAATATATAGAAGGAAAAGAAAAGATACAATAAAATACATTTTCTTAAGTTAAAATACATAGATTGATTGATTGCATACTGTTTAACGTCCCTCTCCAGAATATTTCACTGATATGGAGACGTCACCATTGCCGGTGAAGGGCTGCAAATTTAGGCCTATGCTCGGCACTCAGGGCCTTTGAGCAGGGAGGGTTCTTTATCGTGCCACACCTGCTGTGACACGGGACCTCGGTTTATACGGTCTCATCCGAAGGACCGCCCCATTTAGTCGCCTTTTACAACAAGCAAGGGGGTACTGAGGACCTATTCTAACCCGGATTCCCACGGGGTTAAAATACATAGAAGATATCTACTAACTTTATCAATAAATTGTTTTCTCATGTATTCGTTTATATTGTACATTTGTAGAAAAAAAGGAAATTTATAAATAGACCATATGATCCAAAGAAAATTTTACTTTCATCTTAAAAATGCCTAACAATTGTCACTTTCAATAAAACATTTTCATTAAATATTGCTTTAAAAAATCAGTCAATTTCATTATACCCTATAACATTATTACTGAGACATATGCATGTACAGCATATGGCATAACAAAAGAAACCAAGCGATTTTTTTTAATACTTCGGACTACTTTTTTATCAAGCAAGAAACACCCTTAAACGCACAAAATATTATAACAGGTAAGTTAAAAACAAAATACAAATCCATTAAATTCAACAAAACTCCTTTTAATTTATATCAAAATGAATTTCTTTATATAATGAAAGAAGCTTTAACTATGTTATAGGCTACTTGGATACTTGGGACAGTTTACGTTTTTTAAACAAAAGCAGTTTCTAAAAAAAGCGTATACTGCCCCAAATTATGTTATATCCTATAACATACGATGGCCGTTCAAAAATTACGCGGACTGTGCTATTATTTACTCTTACAGACGTCATATAGTTAAAAAATTAACAGAAATATGTATCTTAAAGATTCCAATAAAGTTTGGGCAAAATTTCTGTATTTTAAAAGAATTCTACTAAAATTATCGGTATGTTGATATCGTTGATGGAGAGGTACTTCGCACGACAAAAAAATTGAAGCAAAAGATGCGGATTCAAAAATTTAACTCATTGATTGTCTAAAATCGCGATATTTTTCAACAATTTTCTCAAATGTACCTTTAAAGTGTTCTATTATTATGTATTTAGATTTCGGACGTAATGTTTGAAGTACTAATAGAAATATAGTGATTTTCTCTGATGCAATTCCCGTGAAAACGACTGTGAAAATGACGTCTCCTGAATTGTCGGCGCACCACACTTTTGTTAAAAAATGTGTAATGCACAAGATATCGGCAACATAGATCCAAAATATGCATAATAAAACATGTAGTAAACTAGGCTACTCGTGACATTCGCCCACAAATAGCAAATTGAAATTTTAGAAAGTTAACTTTATCCGGACTGTAAAGAACGTGATTGAGTCACCAATATCACACTATATCTCATAAGTAGTTTTTGATTTTAAAACAAAAAAAAGAATATTCTTTACTTTTAAGCTTGACAAGAAATGGTGTTTTGATGTTGAGTAGATAAGGTAACTCAAACTATACAGGTACTCAAAGGAAAATGTTGAGAAAATGAAAGCTCATTCACATATTTTCTATAATGCTTGTGACGTCGAAGATTTTGCTGCGCTGTGACTTAATGGTATGTCCTGAAAAATCACTCAAAATTAATACCAATTTGCAACATTTTGATATGAAATTTTGAAGACCAAATAAGTAAAGACTCTTTTATATTATTTGTGAAATTCTGC